TCAAACGGGCTTTTGCGAGCAACTTTTTCGAACTTCTGCGACAACGGTTGCGCACCTGCCAGGGCCATCATCCCTGTCAAATAATACCATGCGGGACACATTCGTTTTTTCTTCGCGCGCGCACGCCGTCGTCGTCGGCCGCGGGGCCCTGAATAGTAGCCACGGTCGTCCGCATGCCACGAAGTGAAGTGTCCGAACGTCATAGGGCGGGAAGCTGGGTGTGGGTGGTGGCGAAGAGTCGTTTGGAAATTTGGTAGAGCTTGAACCGGCCCCCCCACAAAGTGGGGGTATTGCCCGCCTCCTATGAAAACCCTGGCACTGGTGAGAACGGAGTGTCCCCACGTGCTAGTAATTGTTGTTGTTGTTGTTGTTGTTGTTGTTGTTGTTGTTGTTGAACATTATTAATTCTAAAGAATAATTATTGTTGGGACCCCTGGTGCACGGCCCCCCTGCGCCGCCTAGGCCGCAGCTACATTTTCATCATTTTCGTGAGGAAGCCTCAGGTAATTCGATGTGATCAAGATCCGGTTGTTTTGTTCCCCCCCGCTTTCCCTTGCAAAAAACACTATAAAATGACATTTCTTGTTCTAATATAATCAAATTTCAAGAATCCCTTGCAAAAAATAAGGTAAAGTGGACATTCGCGCGCGCAAGACGAAATCCTTCCAAAAGCTTAGTGTTCGGAGCGATTTTAACATAAAAACATCAAAAAACCAATGGTTTTTCAACAAAAAAATGTCAAAATCTCATCCCGCGCGCTCTTGCGGATTCGTAGGAAACCAACACTTTTTAAACATTTCTGTCAAACGGGCTTTTGCGAGCAACTTTTTCGAACTTCTGCGACAACGGTTGCGCACCTGCCAGGGCCATCATCCCTGTCAAATAATACCATGCGGGACACATTCGTTTTTTTTGCGCGCGCACGCCGAAATCTCCAAAAACCATTGGGTTCTTAAGAATTTTAGCACCGCGCATCATAAAATCACACGAATCGCACCGTAGGTCCTCGAAAAACACCTGCACGACTTTTCAAAATTTCCACCCGCGCGCGCTGTCCGGGACAACCATCGGGACAACCATCCGAACAACCATCGGGACAACCAGCGGGACAATCATGTGGACAACGATCGGGACAACCATAACCATCAGGACAACTATCGGGACAACCATGGGGACGACGATCGGGACAACCACGATCATCAGGACAACCATCGGGACAACCATCGAGACAACCATCGGGAAAACCATATCGTCTCTCTCTCTTGTGTATTCCCACATCCCTCAGGAATTTGCCCTAAAGATGTGATCAACCATCTTGTGCGTACGTACCATGATCATGTGTACCATGTACCCTACGGGTCATATGCAACTGATGCCTTTGCGTATTCCCACTTCGGCACAGGAATTTGATTAAAAAATGTGACGAACTCCTCTCTCTCTGTCTCTCTCTCTTTGTCTCTCTCTCTCTCTCCCGCTCTCTTCCTCTGTCTCGCCTTCTCTCTCTCAGTGTCTGTACCATGTCTAGCACTGGTAACAAAGGTATTTGTGTATCCCCACATCCGCCCAGGAATTCCACAAATGTGACCAACTATCTTGCGAGTACGTATCATCTCATGTGTGTCGTGCACACTATCAAATGTAACAGAGTTGTGTATTCCCATCATCCCAGGAACTTGACCCAAAAATGTGACCAACTCCGCTCTCTCTGTCTCTCTCTCTGTCTGCTCTCTGTCTCTCTCTCTGTCTCTCTGTATTATGTATTGTATGGCACAATTGCACCATGCTGGGCACATGCGCGCCCCGAATAAGTGACCAAGTTCTGTGGGTGTGTACCCCACGCCAGTGTAGTAGCCACGGTCGTCCGCACGCCACGAAGTGAAGTGTCCCAACGTCATAGGGCGGGAAGCTGGGTTTGGGTGGTCGCGAAGAGTCGTTTGGATATTTGGTAGAGCTTGTAATGCCCCCCCACGAAGTGGGGGTATTGCCTGGTGTCGTATGAAAACCCTGGCACTGGGGAGAACACCACGCGTTCGGGTAAAATGATTGTTGTTGTTGTTGTTGTTGTTGTTGTTGTTGTTGTTGTTGTTATGACGATTGTTATGGTTATTGTTATTGTTGTTGGTATGGCTGTTGTTGTTGTGGGCCGATTGTGCCTGTGCCTCGGGCGCCCTATCATCCCTCGAAAAGGGGCGACTGCTCCGGGGATGATGGTGCCCCCTCCAGGAGCACTCTGCCGGCTCTGTGGGCCAGTTCTGTGTCGGGCGCCCCGGCCCCTCGGAAAGTGGCGACCCTCACGAGCATGGTGCCCCCCTGGAGGGGCTGAAGCACTCTCCCGGCTCTTATGGCTAGGACGCCCTGGCCCTTCGAACAGTGGCGACTCTCCCGGGGATGGTTCCCCCACTGGAGGAACAGGAGCACTCTGCCGGCTCTGTGGGCCAGTTCTGTGTCGGGCGCCCCGGCCCCTCGGAAAGTGGCGACCCTCACGAGCATGGTGCCCCCCTGGAGGGGCTGAAGCACTCTCCCGGCTCTGTAGGCCAGCTGTGGTTCGGGCGTCCCCAGTGGCTGCCTTCGGCTGTCCCTATGGCCGCTTCCCCGGGTATGCCCCCCACGGGCTCCCAGCAAGGCGCACGAAACTCGGGATGTCGAGCAGGCACCGAAGGAGGCGGCGCCAGACCCAGACCCCCGACGTCATGCATTTTTCATGACGTCGACCCCTAGCGGTCTGGACCCCTCCCCCGGGACCAGTTCTTCGTCTGAGTCGTTCTTTGACGGTCCCGGAGACCGGCAAGGGCCCCCAGAGGCCAAAAATCATGAAGAACCTCCCGTCGTGATTTTTTCATAACTCGAGGGGGTCTGGGAAGGAGGCGGCGCCAGACTTGGGCTGGCCAGAAGCCCCTATGGCCGATTCCCCGGGCATGCCCCCAGCGGGCTCCCTCTCAGGGCATGCGGCCCCTCAGGGCTCGGCTGGGGGGTGTCCTGGCTCCGTCGTGGAGGCCATCGGGCAGGGGGGGGGGCGGGGTGTGGTGTCGTGGGGGACAGACGTACTATTAGAGGCCTGGAAATGGGCACCAACACCAAAACAGGGGGTTGCCTCCACAGGGGGAAGATGATCCTGGATTTCGGTGTTGGTGGTAATATTTTGGTCACCTTGGAAACCAGAATATTACCACCATCACCGAGATTGGGATCTTCACCCCTCGGTGGAGGCACACCGCCGATCTTGGTGTTGGTGTCAACCTCTGGGCCTGCGATACTAGGGGCACGTCGGGGTGAAGGGGCGGCAGGAGGATAGCCCCATCGTCGCTAACGAAGTCCGGTGCGATGTTGACTGTGCTGGCGTCGGTGGCCCAGCAGCCGGGTGGCATAGCCAGGACGAAGGTGGCCGCCTCCTTCCTCACGGTGGATGGCTGGCTGTCTGTGTGGTCGGGTGTGCATGTGCTGGCGTCGGCGTGGGCGCCCTGGCAGTGCCTCGGGCGGCACGCGGCCTGCATATCACGTCGCGAACGGTGATGCGCCGGCCCTTGCCCGCGGCGCAGGCCAGCCTGCGGTATGCCTTCAGCTTAGCCTCCTGGTCGTGAGGCCTAGGCCCCGAATGGCCCGCTCCCCAGACCCCCGACGTCCTGATTTTTTCATGACGTCGACCCCCCATGGGGGTCGACGTCATTCCCCGGGACCGGTTTTTCATCCTGAGTCGTTTTTTGACGGTCCCGATGGCCGGTAAGGGCCCCCAAAGGCCAAAAATCATGAAGAACCTCCCGTCGTGATTTTTCCATAGCTCGAGGGGGTCTGGCTCCGTCTCGCAAACTGGGATTGGCGTTGGTGCCTGTGCGCCTCGCGGGCACCGCGCCTGGGAGGCCGACACGCAGACCGGCGGCCATGGCGCGAGGCTTGCGGGCGCCGCGCATGGCCATCGCCCCAGCCCTGTCGGAGGAGCCGGGCAGGATGGTCCTCCCCCTCCGAGTGTGCAAAGGCTCTCCCTCCTCCTCCTCCGCCTCCTCCTCCTCCTCCTCCTCCTCCTCCTTCTCTTCCTCCTCTTCCTCCTCTTCCTCCTCCTCCTCGTCCTCCTCCTCCTCCTCCTTCTCCTCTTTCTCCTCCTCTTTCTCCTTCTCCTTCTCCTTCTCCTTCCCCTTCTCCTCTTCCTTCTCCTCCTCCTCCTCCTCCTCCTCCTCCCTCCTCCTCCTCCTCCCCCTCCTCCTCCTCCTCCTCCTCCTCCTCCTCCCCTCCTCCTCCTCCTCCTTCCTCCTCCTCCTCCTCCTCCTCCTCCTCCTCCTCCTCCTCCTCCTCCTCCCTCCTCCTCCTCCTCCTCCTCCTCCTCCTCCTCCTCTCCTCCTCCTCCTCTCCTCCTCCTCCTCCTCCTCCTCCTCCTCTCCTCCTCCTCCTCCTCCTCCTCCTCCTCCTCCTCCTCCTCCTCCTCCTCCTCCTCCTCCTCCTCCTCCTCCTCCTCCTCCTCCTCCTCCTCCTCCTCCTCCTCCTCCTCCTCTCCTCCTCCTCCTCCTCCTCCTCCTCCTCCTCCTCCTCCTCCTCCTCCTCCTCCTCCTCCTCCTCCTCCTCCTCTCCTCCTCCTCCTCCTCCTCCTCCTCCTCCTCCTCCTCCTCCTCCCCCTCCCCCTCCTCCTCCTCCTCCTCCTCCTCCTCCTCCTCCTCCTCCTCCCGCCTCCTCCGCCTCTTCCTCCTCCTCCTCCTCCTCCTCCTCCTCCTCTTCCTCCTCCTCCTCCTCCTCCTCCTCCTCCCTCCGTCCTGCTCAACTCCCTTCTCTGAGCACCTCAGTACCAGCCCAGAGACTCTGGACTACAAATGACCCCCCCGAACTACGAGGGCCCACCACCCGGGGACTTCAGGACCCCCCCTCCCCCCAGACTACAAGGCCGCCGCCCCGCACTGCACAAAAAACACCCTTCGTTCCGCCAGCGCCCAAGGAGTGTTCCGTGAACGACGGTCATGGGGGTCGGGGCGGCCTTCCCTTCCTTGAGGTAGCTCCAACGGCAGTGCCACCGAGCCCGCCTCCTGGAACACCGAGCTGCCCCCGTTGCTCCACGTGACGGTGCCACCTGCGATGCCGACGGCGGTGCCCGAGCTCGTGAGCCAGCTGCCGTCGAGCAGCGCGACGCCCTTCCGGGCGGGAGAAGGTCCCTCTGCACTCGGCGCAGAGCGCAGACCTCTGCGCCGTCATCATCGTCGTCGTCCTCCTCCTCCTCCTCCTCCTCCTCCTCCAAATCCTTTCCTCCTCCTCCTCCTCGAGGAAGAAGAAGAAGCAGAAGAAGAAGAAACCTCAAGCTGCGGACAGGTCCGCGTCGACGCGCCGATTCCCTCGTCCCTCTCTTGCTCCGGCCCTGAGCTAGAGCGAGCCGCGGGGCCGGAGGAGGAGGAGGAGGAGGAGGAGGAGGAGATGGGAGATGGGAGAAGGAGGAGGAGAAGGAGAAGGAGGAGGAGAAAGAGGAGGAAGAGGAGTAGGAGAAGAGATGGGGAGGAGGAGGGGGAGGAGGAGGGAGGAGGAGGAAGGAGGAGGAGGAGGAGAAGAGGAGGAGGGAGGAGGAGGGAGAGGAGAGGAGGCGGAGAGCAGATGGGAGGAGGAGGAGAGGAGGAGGAGGAGGGGAGGAGGAGAGGAGGAGGAGGGAGGAGGAGGAGGAGAGGGGAGGAGGAGGGAGGAGGAGGGAGGAGGAGGAGGAGGAGGGAGGAGGAGGAGGAGGAGGAGGAGGAGGAGGAGGAGGAGGAGGAAGAGGAGGAGGAGGAGGAAGAGGAGGAGGAGAAGGAGGAGGAGGAGAAGGGAGGAGGAGGAGGGAGGAGGGAGGAGGAGGAGGGGAGGAGGAGGAGGAGGAGGAGGAGGAGGAGGAGGAGGAGGAGGAGGAGGAGGAGGAGGAGGAGGAGGAGGAGGAGGAGGAGGAGGAGGAGGAGGAGGAGGGGAGGAGGAGCAGGAGGAGGAGGATGAGGGAGGAGGAGGAGGAGGGAGGAGGAGGAGGAGGAGGAGGAGGAGGAGGAGGGAGGGGAGGAGGAGGAGGGAGGAGGAGGAGGAGGAGGAGGAGGAGGAGAGGAGGAGGAGGAGGAGGAAGAGGAGGAGGGAGGAGGAGGGAGGAGGAGGAGGGAGGAGGAGGGACGAGGAGGGGGGAGGAGGCGCGGAATCGCTCAGGGGTCGGATCGCCAGGGCTCGTTGGGTCAGGCTCGGCCCCCGCAGGCGGGTCGTGCCGGAGGGAAGCCCGCTCCCGGCCTGGAGAGGCCTTGAGAGGAGCCTACTCTGCTGGCCTTGAGAGGAGCCTCTCGAGGGAACCAGGTCGTGTCGGAGGGGGGCCCGCTCCTGGCTCTTGGCTCCGCTCCTGGCATACGCTCAGGGCCTGAACGATGGAGTGTTACGCTACATGGTTAAGTCCGGATTTTTTCACGCGGGTTTTTGTTTCTTACGCCGGAATTGCACGTGTGATCTTCACGCGTGCTTTGTACGCGGGATTGTGAGGCTGGATTCTTTCCCTGTGCGCTGTGCAGTCGTGTCGCTACCATCGTGCACTTACTGCCGTGCACTAGCGGCTCTAGCAACATACAAGTACAGTTCACCGTGTGTGGCCTGCTCCTCAGCTTGCAAGCTCTGGGGTGCTGGGCGGGAGGCCGCGCCGTACCCTGACGTCCGCCGACCTATGTACTTGTTCTCCATCCTTGGCCCCAGCGGTCCGGACCGCTTCCCTTTCGAGCCGGGTCCATCTCCGATGGCCCCATGGCCGGATGTGTCGGGCCCCACGGGGCCGAAATCAAAGAAAAGCGCCAGCATTGACACCTTATGCGGTCGGGAGCTCCTGCCCGGCGTGTCGGAGCGGTGGCCGCGGCGACACGCTATATGCCTTGTGAGTGGGTAGCGCGTCGCTCCGCTCCGCGGGGCGGGATGGTCGGCAAGGCTCGGGACCTGCCGTGGATAACGGGTCGCGCCGGAGCGCGGTGGGCCAGAACCGGCGGAGCGACGCGCTGGGCCAAAGTTCCTGTCCGTATAGTAAGGACGCGTGGTAAGGACGCACGACCCTTGGAGGCCGAAGTTGAAGCATTCTGGGCGGCAGGCGGCCAAACCCCCAAGGAACCTTAGAAACTGGCCTGCGAAAATTGCTAGGGACGGGCCGCAAAGGCTGAGGCAGGCAAGGACCCAAGTGTACCCTTGAAAAAACGTTTGTCCTTACTATGCGCGTTGAACGTATGTGTCGTTGGAGATCTGGGCCTCAAACCCTGGGGTTGGGTCGGGCGTGTCCTCGTACGGGCGGCTCTTGTACGACAAATGAAACATGGTCAAACAATGCTCAATAAAAATCATAAATCACAGAAAAATCGTCCCCAGACTATTTTTGGATGTTCCCCCTGTAGAGGGATAGGCCCAACTTAACCCTGGGGCAACAGGCGGGAGGCCGCGCTATAGCGGCCCCCCCTCGACCCCCGACGTCATGGTTTTTTCATGACGTGGGCCCCCAGCGCCCAGCGGTCTGGACCCATCCCCAGGATCGGTTTTTCATCGCGAATCGTTGTTTGATGGTCCCGAGGCCCACTAAAGGCCCCCAATGGCAGAAAGTACAGAAAAACCTCCCGCCAATGATTTTGTTCCCGGCCCCAGGGGGTCTGTGTAGCGGCCCAATGTGAAGCTGCAGCGCGGAGCCGTGCGGCGATGCAGCGACGACGTCGGCGATCGGCGGTGCATCGGCGATGCATCGGCGACAACGTCGCTGCATCGGCGCCTTCGGCATGGAGAAATGATGGCTCCAGATTGGTCCGCATCGTCGATACATCGTCGATGCGGAGTGATCCTCCGACCCCATCCCCCATCAAGAGTTATGTCGGGCGTGTCCCCCTACATGGGGGATTTTCGTCGGAAAATAGAAAATACCCAACACATGCACCGCAAAGGCCAAAAAATACCCAAACCATAATCCCCAGACGATTTTGGGATTATGTTTTGACTATTTTTGTTGTATGTTTTCAGTTGTCCTTGAAAATCCCCCTGTAGGGGGACAGGCCCGACTTAAATCTAGAGGCCTGGAGCTAGAGCGGCTCTATGCGGAGCTGCAGCGCTGAACCGTGCGGCGGGGGAGGCGAATCGACATGAATGGGATCGGCAGAAATCGGCAGCCAAGCAAGGAGAAGCCGAATCGGCGCAAGCCGGCAGGCCAGCAGGGCCTCCATGGAGAAGCCGAGAATTCCGAATCGGAATCCGAAACCTAATCACATTGGAATCGGCATCGATCGAAGTCGCCTCGAATCGGGGAAGGGGAGGAGGAGGAGGAGGAGGAGGAGGAGGAGGAGTGAGTGAGTGAGACCAGTCGCGAAGCGAATCCCGATACCTACGAGCCCCTGCGAGCGAGCTCGGCCCGACTCAGGACCTTGGGCCATTGCCCATTGCCGATCGTGGATAAATGCTCGGCTCGGTTGGAATTCGTGGTCCTGGGACATGGTTGCTCAAGACCTCGGACCATCTGACTAGCAAAATACCCGCAACTCGCGCAAAACCAAAAATTTAGGGGCACTGTGCAAACGCATAGTGTGTGTTTCATGCACCCACCCACCCGCTATATGCAGCTGGACCCCTGACGGCACCCCGAAGATCACCCCATCTATATAGGTCGGCTGGAAGCACGGCGTATCTTTCCAGAGGGCCCGACGGGCAAACGTGGAGGAGCTACAGCAAACAAGACAGCGGCGCCTGCACTCGGCGAGGCTATGGCTGGTGGAGAAATTCTGCACAACGGAAGGATCAGGAGGAGGGACAGGGGGGGACTTACTCTTTTTTTTCGGGGGCCAGGCCCCCTCAACTCCTTCTCCCGCTCCAGCGTGTCGATCGCGGCTCTGAGGAGACGCAATCGGACCAGAAATGCCTTCTTTTCCCACAACATCGCTCGATACACAACATGCTGAGAAACTTGGCAGCGCTCGGCGGCTGCACTCGTCGGCAACAGTGTTCCCCAGCAGCATCCACAAGGGAACGCGCCTCATAGCTTCTGCCTCCAAGTGTGAATTGACGAAGAGCACAACAAACGAGGTCGGATCTCGGTGCTGGAAAATCTCCCCGAGGCGGTGCCAGAGGTCGGCGTCGGGCCCCTCAGGCTGGAGGTACCGACGCTCGGCCCAGCCGTTCGCCACGTTCTGATTGCCCGTGGTGAAAACAACAAAACCTTCTGAAAGCTCTGCCGCCCAAACCAGCGCGCGCAGCTCGCCCCTCGGGACCGACTGCCGCTGGCCAATTAAATTCCAATGGCAGTGGCGGGGGCCGTCAGCGGCTCGAAGCAAGAGGCTGCTGCGACGGCGAGGCCAACGCGGCGGAGCCTCGCGTCGCTGGAGTGCTCCCCCCCGCTCGCATCGCCGAAAAGGTACAAGGGGTGCTGCCTGGTCCCTGTACCTAGCCACAAGACCGCCCCATCGTTGTCGGTGAAACCTGTGGCGGACCAGATCTCGTCCTCTGGTGCCCGCGGGACCTGTGCCCAGCTAGCTGGCAGGAGACCTCGAAGCCAGAAGCACTCCGCTGACTCCCAACTGGCGTGCGTTCCGTGAACCAAACACTCCGAGCGTTCGTGCGCTGGGACTCCTGTGTTGCACGAGCCGCCCCATATGCGGTGAAACTGATATTCCTTCTCTCTCTCTCTCTCGCAGTGCGGGCACAACTGATCTATAACAATTTCCTCGTGCGCGGGAGCCGCCTCAGCACGTCTTGTGCGCGGCCAGGAAGCGCCCGCAGCAATAATGGCCAACAACTCTGACAGCCTGCTGCCGCGGTCCAGGCTGAACAACTGAGCATGGAGGCGCCGGAGGGAAACGCAATCGATGCCGTCCTCCATGCCACTTCCACAAAAGTGTTGAGCTGCATCCTTCCATCATTTCTATGAAATAGAAAACTGAATGTCGCGAATGAGTCCCCCTGGATCGTCCACGTCGGGCCACCCCTCCCAGACATGGCCGGGGACATGCCAGTCGATCACCTCACCTCCAACCGTCCGAGCTGGTCTGGTCCAGTCGGTGGCCGACACAAGGTCCCAGCCGCGGGCGGGGAGGAAATTGATGATATCCGATACTGGACCACGCGCGCGCCGTGATCGCCGTTCAGGTGGAAGGGCGCGCAGTTTGGCCAAGATCAAGGGCCGCGCGTAGCGAAGGCTCGC